ACATTGGTCCCTCGGTTAACGAACGCCTCGGTTAACGAATTACCTTCCATGAGAATCTTCATTTCGCTTAACGAAATCCTTACGAATTCCTCTCAACATGTTTTCGCTTGCTCACCAGCTGGAATATTAGTCCGCCAATGCAGTAATCGGTTCTAGGGCTTAAATTCGTTCCCATTTGAGTAAATATCAAGAAGGTTGTATTATTCAATAATTTTCCAAGTTTTATATTAAAATTTTTAGTCATTTTAACTCTTATTTAACATAATTGGAGTACAGGAAACTAGTTTTTGGTGCGCCAATCAGCCACTTGACTCACCAACAAAGGCGTCAGTTTGTATCTCTGGTCAATGAAGGTAACATCTTGCCTGTGGCTCTCTTGAACATAAACTATTTTTACGTTTTTACAGTACAATTATTGGTCATTCTGAAATATATTTTACATAGTGATAATATATAGCACAGTGCAGTGTTGATTAAAATAAAATAATCTTTATTTACAGCAATTAAACTTAAAATTTTAGTGTTGAAATTGAATCCAGCATGGCTCCAAAGAAATCTAAAAAGGCGATTTCAATCCAGGTAAAACAGGAAATAATAAAGAAACATGAACAAGGCATTAGAACAAATGTGCTTAGTAAAGACTATGGCATGTCGACATCAACTGTGTCGACAATTCTCGCACAGAAAGACAAGTTCAAGGAAATGAAAGTGAGAGACAAATCTACCAGAGTGTTTAAAGGTAGATCCTTAATTGCAGAAACAGAGAGGTTACTTCTCATTTGGATTAAGGAAAAACAAATGAGAGGCGATTCAATTTCGACAGAATTTATTTGTGAAAGAGCCAAGGAAATTCACGAACATTTGAAGGAAGAGCAACCTGGTTCTTCTGGCACAGAGTTTAAAGAGTTTAGGGCCAGCAAGGGCTGGTTTGAAAAATTTAAGAAAAGAAGTGACATTTTCAGTGTTATTAGGCATGGTGAGGCTGCCAGTGCAGATAAAGGAGCAGCAAAATTTGTAGTGGACTTTAAAGAACTGGTGGAGGAAGAAAATTATCTTCCACAGCAAGTGTTAATGTGGACGAAACTGGGCTGTTCTGGAAGAAAATGCCCAAAAGGACATTCATCACCAGAGATGAACGCCCGTATTATTAAACATCTTTCCTTGAAGGAGGTAATCGTGTTTCAACCCGAGTTTTAAAATAAATGAATCCTGAGGGACACCGCAATACAGTAGTTAACAGGGTGGTGTGGCGGTAAAACTAACTAATTCCAATATTATAAATTAATTTTATTGGAATTAGTTAATTTTACCGCCACAACACCCCGTTAAGTACAACACTGCGGGTTGAAACACGACGACCCCCTTCAAGGGAAGATGTTGTTTAATAATACGGGCGTAAGCCTCTTTACCTGGGCATAAACCCATGAAAGACCGTCTCTCACTATTGCTTGGTGTAAATGTTTCAGGGGATTTCCGACTGAAGCCTATGCTTGTCTACCACTCTGAGAACCCCAGGGTGTTCAAGCAACAGAAAGTGGCAAGAGGACAGCTTGGAGTTTATTGGAAGTCCAACCGTAAGGCATGGGTGACAAGACAGCTCTTTAATGAATGGGCTGTTGAGGTGTTTTGCCCTTCTGTGAAGAGCTACCTAACCACCAATAAACTCCCTTTAAAGGCTCTTCTCCTTATGAATAATGCCCCTGGTCATGACCCTCAACTTGCCAGCACTTTGGAGGCTCTATTTGACTTTGTCAAAGTGTTGTTTTTGCCTCCTAACACTACATCAATTATACAGCCAATGGACCAGAATGTGATCAGCAACTTTAAGAAGCTGTACATGAAGAAAATGTTCTGGAGATGTTGTCAGGCAACTTCCACTGATCCTGAACTAACACTGGCACAGTTCTGGAAGACACAATTCAACATCCAGGAGGCTGTAAAATTGATTGTGTCATCATGGCGAGAAGTCTCATTAGATCCCTCAATTCTGCATGGAAAGCACTGTGGCCATCAGCAATCCATGATTTTAGGGGATTTGAGGAAGTAGCGGAGTTGGACAAGGAGATTGTGTCCATTGGTCAGTCAATGGGCCTCGAAGTGGAGGAGGATGATGTGGAAGAGCTTATGATGTCTCATGAGCAGGAACTTACTCCTGAAGACTTAAAGCAACTGGATGAGATGTTAGAAGCTGACAGTGGTGAGGAGGAAAGGGAAAGTGATGACCATATGTCTTCTTCAGATTTAAAGGATGTTGTTCACTACTGGGAGAAGTTCAGGAAACTGGCTTCAAGGCACCCAGATGTGGAAACAATAGAACCTATATTGTGTAATGTTGAGGACAGAGTGGTCTCCTTCAAAAATCAGTTAATGATGAGGAGGAGAAATGCCCCACAAACAAAAATCGACAGTTTCTTCTCTAAGAGGCAGCGGGAGAAAGATGCTACCCCTCAGCCTTCCACTTCAAAAAGGAGAGGATTTTCCTGCTGCAGAATCTGTCAGTCCAGAGGTTCCTGACATTTTCATGGAAGGTGACTCGCCTTCCAAAAAGCAGTAAAATGCTTCTCCTCCACCCCCACTTCCTTCTCTTCTACCTTCTCCACCTCCCACTTCAAATTCATATCAGCATCATCAACCAGGAGCCTTCTACATACACACCTCAAAGTAAGTGTACAGTGGGGTATGCTATAACGAATCTAATTGGTTCTAGAACCTTGTTCGTTATAGCATTCGTTCGTTATAGGATTAATCCGTTCCAGGCCCCCAAATACAACCACTTAACACTGAAAAATATAATATTAAATTGTAAAAATTGTAAAAAAGTGCATAAATATGCATCTAAACCCTTGAAATAAAGATTATCATTAATACTTGTAATACAGAAACAATAAATTAGTAAAAAAAAAAAAAAAAAAAAAAAATTTATAATGTTCGTTGTACGAGTTTCGTTCGTTATAGCATTATCAATTTTATAGGTAAAACCGTTCTTTATAGGAATATTCGTAGTAGGATCCGTTCGTTATAGCATACCCCACTGTACTTTACTGCATTTTTTTTTACTTTATGTAATTTTTGGTGAGCTGGAACCAATTACCCAAAATTCCATTGAAACAATGGTTTCGGTTCCCGAACAACCTTCTGGAACGAATTGTGTTCGTTAACCGAGGGACCACTGTATTTACGTCTTCGGCAAATTTGCCTTAAGTTTGTCATAATAGTTTGTGATAATTTGGCTTGTCTTTCAGTATTATATTATTAGTAATATTATTAGTAACACAATTTTTGTGCTTAGTGGACTACTGCTCGTCCCAGACTCCCTAGCTAGGCGGCACTGCCTATGGCGAGCCGGCCTCCCATCCGTACTACAGGCACATTAGACACAGGGTAATTTGTGATACATTTAAAAAATGCGTCTTATATGCCGGCAAATACAGTAGGTGATACACTTGAATGTGAACACTATACGGTCCTGAATTTGTTAGATCAGTTTATGAAAGTGTTGGAAAGAGTGAGAGATTAAAAAATTTACAAAAGATTGGACATTAATGAAATGTAGTTTGGTTCATACCAGGCAGGGGTGCTACAGGATCAATATTCTTGGCCAGGAAACTACAAGGGAAATAACAAAGGAAGGAAAAAGCTCTACTTCATATTTGTACACTTAGAGAAGGCATCTGACAGGGTAATGAAAAAGTACAGGTGCTCCTCTACTTAAGAAAGTTCAACTTACAAACTTTCAGAGATACAAACATCATCACTGAGGGGGGTTACCTGCCAAAACAGGTGTTTAATGTGGATGAGACTGGATTATTTTGAAGAAAATTCCAGATAGAACAAACATTACCTAAGAGGAGAAGAGTGAGCCAGGTTTTAAGGCTGTATTAAAGGGTATAGCTGTACTAAATATCCATAATCTTTTCATTTTCTACAATATGTTTGGTATCTACTAGAGTAAAGTTAGACATACAAACAAGCCTCAGGGACGTAATTCGTTCGTACGTAGTGGAGCACCTGATGGGTTGAGGAGTGTTTTGATCAATTGGTTATGGCATTATAGAAGGGCTTGAAAACTTCAGTGAGAGAATATATTAAGAAAATTTGGGAATGAGAGGTGAAAGTAGGGGTCCATGAAGGGTCTGTCTAGAGCCCAGATACATAACCTTTTTGCTTCCGCTGGGGCCACATCACCAAACTAACTCGTAAGTGAGGGCCACAACATTTATGAAAGTCACCATAATTAGATGTTTGAATTACATAAAGGTATTCAAATTCTTTACTCAAACGCTCATACAGTATATTATTTTTTTAAATCAAATATAATGCTCTTACTAGAGATAACCAAGAATTGCTGTCACATAATTAATTTTAATCTTTAACCTTATAAAAAGGCCTACTGTATTACCATAAAAAATAATGATTAAAACAATGTGCTTACCTGGCATATTACGTGACAAGTTTTTCTGAATGTGATGTTTAACATTGTGACTGAGACGAGCTTCTTGATGTTAGGGTCAAACTCTGTGATTGCCAGTTGCAAAACAGTGCAAATTTTCGTCCTTTAGCCTATTTTGAATCTTGGACTTGTGAAGATTCAACAGACTAAATGTTTGCTCACAGATGTATGTGAGTCACAGATGTATGTGAGCAAACAAGTGTAATTTCGACAATGGCAGAAATTGGCGATTACATAGAAGATGAAGTGCTGCAGGTGGCACGAGACACAGCTCAGGCTGAGGAACCTCTATGCATCACTACATAAGTATGAAATGCACATAGCCCACCAACTCAACTTTAATAAATAAAACAATAAATAATCTTCAGAAACTTACCCGTCATTTTTACAAGATTTTTGAAAATGCTAACAATGCATCCCTTTTGACGTGCTCATTTTATTTAAATGTAGATTGAGGAAATTTTAGCATTATTTTTAAAGTTAAGGAAACGTGAACAAGGGTCAAACAAAATAAAGTAAAAAAAATATTAAATTCATTATCAATACTTACATTTTTGCCAACTGTATCATGTGGAGCCAGAAAATTGGAGCAAGTTTCAATTTCTGTAACCTTGCGATGATCTAACAGAGTTAGAGATTTTACCCCTGAAAGAACCAAATTTTTGGTAACCTCAGCACCCATCCCACACACTCCTGCAACTAAGACGCAGGATGCTCGTAATCTGTAAATACAAAATTTCAATAAGTTCCTCACCAAAATTCACAACATGCTAGTTAATCTTAAAGTCCAAATCTTATTGATTCCCAATTAAAATACCGTACACAATGTGCACGCTTTAAAATAATATATAAAGTAAAAAAAACATAATTCATCCCTCCACATTTCAAAATGCCTTATAATTTATATTTTTTTTCTGTTACTAACTATTTTTTGCAATTTTTTTAATATTTACAAAAAATTGTGAAATGAGAAATATTTCAAAATATTTATAATAGATTTCGTAATATTTGTTAAAATTTTTAAATACAGGTATGAGACAATTTTGAATAGAAATGTAAAATTCTGTATTTCAGATGTAATATCTCTGTTAGCTGGAATCCCTCAAACCCGAAACTCGCCAATAGCCGGAATTGAAATTTTACGGAAAATTCCGGCTTTGGGAAAGATTTTCAGAGGGGGTACATTTTCCGGAAAATTGCAAGAAAATTCTCCAGATACCCGGAAAACTTTGGGGATGGGGGAGTTTTTCTCCCGGGTATGGGAGATGAAAATCAGGCACATTTTCTGGATATTCCGGGAGAAATTTTCTGGAACCCGGAAAATTCCGAGAACGGGGGATATTTTTCCGGGTTCGAGAGATGATGTAATGGGCAATTTCTGGAAGTTCCGAGAACATTTTTCTATTACCCAGAAAATGCCCGAGATGAGGAATTTTTTTCCGGCTTTGAGTTGTCTCGTTACCCGGAAATCTCTCATTCCCGGAAGTGCTCTGCACCAATCATTCCAGCCAATGAAGATATCACACTTTCACGAAATATGAGGTGAGTTTTGGCATGGACTTTAAACGCTCTGGAGTAAACAACATGAGCTGCATACTTACCAATTTAGCCCCTTTCTGTGGCTGCTAGCATAAATTACTAATGTTTGTAAGGACTTTATGGAGAATAATAAGTTAGTATGTAGTACAGTGAATTATTTTTTTTTTACTGTACTGTATATATATTTTAAGAAATGAGTAAAGTTTAAAGAAATATCTTACAAAAAGAACAACATAGTTACTGTAGGCCTAACAAAAGCCAAGACACTGTATGTGTAAGCACGCCGGGGATGGTGTCCTGATCGGGGGTTTATTTGTTGATTCTGTGTTATCTTCTCGTTTGATCAGCCTCTTAAGGTCCATCATGATTAATACAACATCTTCAATAATGGAGAAAAATATGATATTTAAGTTGTAATATGACTTGAAAGTAAAAGGATTAGCTGTATCAAAAGGTATTCACTCAGAATGCGTTCATGTGAGAGCTTTCAGCAAACCAGCTTACAACAGGGCCACTATAACACACTGCATGCCATATAAGACGGTGTACCACCCATTTCAGCAAGGAGTATTTAGAAAAAACTTTCATGTATTCTCCTCCTGTAGCCATAGTTTTCTTAAAATAATACATACAGTCCCAGTAAACGAGAAGAATAAATAAAAAATACCAATAAATCAGTTACAAGAAAAAATTCTGTACAGGTAATTGTGAAACCAGTAAATAAAAGTCAAATGAAAGTTTAACCCAATTGCCATTTGCATACACGACTGCTTCACCATAGCAACACAGAGCAGTACGGACGCTAACCTCCCCCGACTCCATAGTAACGCCCCCCCCCCCCACAATGTGCCCTCCTCCTGGTCCCCCACTGAGCCAGCTAACTAGCATGGAAAGAAATGTATATTCCCTTTTTGTGTTTGCTCTTATGACAATTATTTCACCGTTTTCTCTCACAATACAGTCGGCCCTTAACATACGCGGGGGTTAGGTAACAGAGATACCTGTGAATGCTAAAAATCCATGTACTATTGCTGCCCCCCCCATGTCCTTATTTACCGTATATACCTGTGTGTAGTTCGAATTTTTAAGACTAAATTACAGAGACCCCTCGGTTAACGAACTCAATCCGTTCCAGAAGGTCGTTCGTTAACCGAAAAGTTCGTTAACCGAAACCATTGTTTCAATGGGTTTTTGGGTAATCGGTTCCAACTCACCGAAAATTGCCTAAATTCAACAAAAATGGTAGAAAAGTTCACTTACTTTGAGGTGTGTATGTAGAAGGCTCCTGGATGATGATGATGATGGGAATTAGAATGGGGGTGGAGGAGAAGGAAGAAGAGAAGGCATTAGGGTGGAAGAGAAGTCACCCCATGGCGCCATTTCACCCATAAAATTTTAGTTCTCTTGGTGTATTTCAAGATTATTTTCTTTAAATCAACACTGCACTGCATTATATATTGTCAATATGTAAAATATATTTCAAAATGACCAATAATTTGCTTGGAAACACAGAAAAAAAGTGTTTAGTTGAAGAGAGTCTCAAGCAAGATGTTACCTCCAGTGAAAACAGAGAGAGACTAACGCCTGTTTGCTGTGTTAAGAGGCTGGATGCCGCGCATTAAACTAGTCACTTTACCTTCAATTATGTTCAATAATTGTTAAAATGACTAAAAAATTGACTATTAAACTTTTAAAATTATTGAATAGTATAAACTTCTTGATATTTACTAAAATAGTAAGGAATTTAAGCCCTAGAACCGATTAATGTATTGGCGGACTGATACTAAAGCTGGTTGCCTGGTCAGTGCAAGCGAAAACATGTTGAGGTCGGTTCGTAAGAAATTCGTTAACCGAATTTTTGTTCGTTAACCGAATTGAAGATCCTTATGGAAGGCAGTTCGTTAACCGAAATTTTGTTAACTGATGCGTTCGTTAAACGAGGGGTCACTGTATTTGGCAAAAATTGGGGGTCGACCTCTAAACTGGTAATAGTTTCGTTAGGTTGAAAAATATTTACCAGTAACTACCAGTAAACAATGGAAACGAAGCATCAACGCACCACCAGCTGTGAGTGTCGGTACAGTTGCCAAGGCAGATCTCTTGCGTCATTATAGCAAGCCCAAAGTAGCCAAATGCGTGGTATGGTATGCACAGGACGATGTAAAACATAAAGTATTCATTTTTTAAAGTTTATTTATAGATACTGTACATAAATTTTTTTTCATTACATTTGAAACATCAATCTTTGTTAATTAAATTTGAAACAAAAGAAAACTATGATACCGTATTTTCATTAAAATATTATATAACAAGTATATTTTACCTTAACTGTGACTGAATGAATATATTCTCAGAAATAAATATGGAAATGTAATATTTTGGCTGAAATGACGTACATATTTGTGGAAAGTGGGATAAAATCATGACGAAAACAATGACTTTCGCTTTCTTTCGTTGTTCAAAAGATCTTACCATAATCGCTTTTTGAATGGTTTTCAGTTAAAAAACTGTTGTACTGTATTACAATAATATTCTGTCCTATCATTAGCCTCATAATCCCACAACTGAAAACCATTTGAGAATTGATTACGGTAACAACTTTTGAACGAAAGAAAGCGAAAGTCATTGTTTTCGTCACAATTTTATCCCACTTTCCACTGTAATACGTACGTCATTTCAGCAAAAATATTACATTTCCATATTCTCAGAAATAAATAGTAGTTTTGTTGAAACGTAATATAGAGTATTTAATATTAAAATGCAAAAAGAGCTATAAAACAATTAATACTGTACAATCGTAATGTACTGGCTGGCATCTCCACTCGTCCCTGCTCCCGCCAATCACCGACTCACCACTCCTCCCTGCTCTATCCCTCTGCCTCCTCCACATCGTCACTACTGTTGTATTACAATAATATTCTATCCTAATTCACTTGAATAAATACTACAATACCATATTTCTGAATATTTTCATTAAAATCCATCAAAGTCATTTTCCTTGTCATCGTTTACAGCACCAAACAGCTTCTCCCAGTCCTCTCCTTGAACAGGGCTAGAGGGGACGTGTTTTTCTAATTGTTTTCAGTTAAAAAACCGTTACATCACATGTATATTTTACCTAAACTGCGCCTGGATGAATATATTCTCAGAAATAAATAGTAGTTTTGCTGAAACGTGATGTATTTCAATGTAAAATAGGATAAAATACATGACGAAAACAAAAGACTTTACCTAACCTTCCGATGCTCAAGAGATGTTACTCATTTTTTTAATAGTTTTCGGTTAAAATACTGTTATATTACAATATTCTATTCATACTGTGCTTGATATACTACATTCACGGAAATGTAATATTTTTGCTGAAATGACGTACGTATTACAGTGGAAAGTGATGAAAGCAATGACTTTCGCCTTCTTTCGTTCAAAAGATGTTACCGTAATCGCTTATCGAATGGTTTTCAGTTAAAAACTGTTGCATTAGAAGTGAATTAGGATAGAATATTATTGTAATACAACAGTTTTTTAACTGAAAACCATTCGATAAGCGATTACGGTAACATCTTTTGAACGAAAGAAGGCGAAAGTCATTGCTTTCGTCACTTTCCACTGTAATACGTACGTCGTTTCAGCAAAAATATTACATTCCATATTCTCAGAAATAAATAGTAGTTTTGCTAAAACATAATGTATTTCAATGTAGGATAAACTACATGAAAACAAAAGACTTTACCTAACCTTCCGATGTTCAAGATATGTTACTCGTTTTTTTAATAGTTTTCGGTTAAAATACTGTTATATTAGTGATATTCTATTCATACTGTGCTTGATATAAAACATTCACGGAAATGTAATATTTTTGCAACTACAATGCTGATGTCAACACAAGCGTGGTTACAGCGAAACTTGACTGAGTGAGGGAGAGCTGTGTGTGTGAGGTTGCAGGAGCAGGCGGTGTCCCGTGTTCGGTGCCGCACGCGATTTGAATGTACGTCAATTACTTCAATGTACAGAATATTCCTCCGGCGGGGCAATTCGCGTATTTGCAAATCCGTGTATGCTAAACCCGCGTATGTTAAGGCCTGACTGTATGTATGTAGTGTGTGCATGTAACTGAGTAAAAATAAATGAAGAAAGTTACATACAGTATATCTACCCAAAAATATGAGTTGAAACAACCATAACACCTCACAACTTGGCCCAGTAGCCTGGTGGTTACAATGACGAGTCTAATTTGGCTACAATGATGTCAGCAATGTTAACAGATGTAAATGTTAAAAGAAAGTTATCTGTAAATCTTCATTTGATATGAAAATACTTTCCTAACAACATTATTTTTTACCTTTGAGTAATACATGATGATTCAATTTGGCTACTTGTACAACCTAGACAACTGATTAGAGACTAAACCAGGGTATATGTAGATGCATAATACTGTACAGTATGCATATGTATGTAATATGTATTTTTCCTCATGTAAAAGGTGTTGGGAGAGAAAGGTTGTCAATCATATTTCCTAAGGGGTAGAGCCAACTATTATGTCAAATTATGGGTTTTTTTTTACTGTAGATCCTCGCCAACCACAGATTTCCCATTTGCAGATTCCAGGTATCCACAGTTTTCACTCTCTATACTATTTCACCAACCACAGCATTGAATTTTGAGTATCTGCAGATTAGTGTGGCATCTTTATCCCTCCGCGGTCTAATGTACAGTAGAATGTCGACATAACACGAGATAGGTTTCAAGAGAGGTCATTTTCAACTGAATTCGCACTATACTTGGTAATATACCGTGCTTTATGGAAAAAGGATTTGCCTTGCTATTTTTCTGGTGAAACTCGGCAATTGTGGCAAAATAATCTTTCTCACAATTTCTGCACATCTCTTCCACCGGTTCAGTTATATCTCCTATTAAAAATTCAAATCTTCCCTTCAGACCCACCCACTCATTGTTTATTGGCTAAAACAAAACAAAAAATCTTGCCCAATAAAAATACTCTTTTTGCTGTCGCCGATTAAAATCCCACATGCACTCTAGACGCTAAAGGAGCGAAGACGGAAGTCTAGAGCGATGCGTGAGCAGGGATCAATCCACCTCCGCCATACGTAAACAAATCATGGCAACACTTGTGACTGAGCAAAAGTAATAATCTTTAAAAATTAATATCTCGGTTATCCTAATTTCCAGTGGGAATAACATAGAAGAAAAAGGTCTTAAAATTGTGTAAACATTATGAGATCCATATTAATAACAGTCAAAGAAAGACCGGTGTAAAATTATTAATTCATCAAAATGACAACTTTCTAGTATAATTTTAAGTATTTATTTTTTATTTTCTTTATTTACTCTATCCCGCTTCACAATTCTCCTCCCGTCTCCATTTTTGTTGTTTACCTCCCTGAATCCCTCTTCAATAGACGTCTCCTTTGACTGATAGTGAATGCTTCCACGATTTCCTCCTCGCCATTCTGATGTATATCAAAACCTCAATATTAAGGGAAGTTGTATAACATGTAAATTAACACGATAATGCATAGAACTTAATGAAACCTGACCTAACATACCCAACCTATGGGTATGTTAGGTCAGGTTCTATGCATTGTCGTTTCCATTTCTGTTTATTAGCATGATATTTGTGTGTAGAAAATATGGTAAATTTGCATTGTCACACCGTTCTCTGTAAGAAAGTCAAAAATATATTTTTCTAGTGTATTTGTGTGAGTTTAGACCGAATATGACCTTCATTTCTGGTGGAAATTAGCAATTTTTTTTCGTTGGACGTTTTCCGAAAAAAAAAAAGGCAAAATACACCAAAAAACACTTAGAAAAACGAAAAACAAAAACCAAACCAAACCTAACTGACTCTCACCATATGATGGAATCACCTATTTCTTACCTTATTGGCCTGGTTCTTGTTCGTCGTTGCATTCTGGAATATGTTGGTCTTTGCAATATTTACATTCAGTCTTGCTCTTTGGACACTTTACCGAGGTTGAAAGAACACCATGCGATCGAAAAAATGCTATAGTTTCTACGATTTTTTCCCAAAAACTCGCAATCAGCTCCATATACTTTAAGTGACACCCATCGCAGACTTCCATGGTCGGCACTGAACTTGAATTTCAAAATATGAGACCCGAAATAAAACTCGAATTTGAATGGGCCAAAAATACCGCGGATTAAACCCAAAATCATTTTAATTGGTTCCAAAAGCAAAAGCGCTTTTGATTGGCTGCGTGACGTGTACGGGAATACATGTGCGTGATGATTTATGAAGGAGACACAGTGTTGGAGTTGAGGTAGGCGATAATGGAGGAAGATTAATGGAAGAAAACAGAGAAAATTTTGGATATGCTATCTCCGTTATTATAATTTCTGCCGGTAATGTAATAGATGAAAATTATCTTTTATTTAGATGTCTTATTCGAAAATGATAATAGATTAGTTAATTAGGGGGTGGCAACTACTAAATATTTACCAAATAGCGTTAGTAGGAATTTTATAGAACAGGATCTTAGAGACTCAGCAGGCCACCTCACATTCAGAGGCTTAATGTTTGGGTCCCCGTACTCCAGGTGTCAGGTCCTTGTAATAAAAGGGTTAAAACGTCTATTAAACTGACAAATTGGTGGAAATGATAAATAAAACAAAATAAAAACACCTACCGCTTTTGAGCATCCAGGCCCCATAGCCTGATTTGGCGATCATACAGGGCCGCCTCGTCCTCTGTTATGTTTTCTACGTTCTTCTCCACCATCCTCATGTGTGTATTGTTCATTCAGGATACAAAACACTTTCTTCTTGAAGGTGAAACCACAAATTTAAGACTGAGACAACGCGGCTATACTCCCGCGCCGGCAGTGTTGACAACTTAGAGAAAAGTTCACAAAATACTGTACCATCACCCATTAGCAATCTTTTATATTATTTTTAGTATATTAAGCTCTTTTAATGGTTGTAATATTAATTTAAATGATTCTTAGATTTGTTTAAAAAAAATATCAGATTCGTGGTTTCTCGATAACAATAGTGATATTTTGTTTGTGAGAGTTGGTAAAAGTGTTTCGCGGCGTGAGCTTGACAGTACGAGCCTAATATTATTAACAACATAATAATAAAATAAATAATGTGTAAATCAATAAATAAAATATTCATTTAGCTTCAATATTAATTTTTAAATGCATTTAAATTAATTTAAAATTAATATTTAGGCTAATTATTTTTTTCTTGTTAGGTTTATTTATATATATATAGCCTATATATATATTTTTTTACGGTCATTAACCCACTCAAGCACAGGTCATTTTTAATGACCCACATCAAGGCCTTGGGGGCGAAAGTATAATAAAACAACATCAATAATAATAATAATAATAATAATAACAATAATAATAATAATAATAATAATAATAAATTAATAAAAATAAATAACAATTATAATAAAATAAAATATTAATATTAATAAAAATTATAAATAATAATATATAATGAACCATAAATAAATTTAGAAAAAATGAAAAAATATCAAGAGTGAGAAATACTGTATGTATATTGTGTTGTCTAAGTAAGAGAAACAATTGAGACCCTGCAATTAAGTGTAAATGAGGCAGAAAGTCAGATCAGCAACTGGTCACAATTTTTGTAATGCAATATGGCAGCAGGGTCTACCATTAGACAACACATTATGCTTCCAATATCTTCCCAGGCGGTAGTACCTCCCTATTTGATAGTTGCCTAATACCTACTATTTATTTATTCTTTATATTACAGAGAACTTTTAATATTGTTAGGCTCTCACTGTTAGATTAGATTAGTTTAGGTTTTGAATGTTTTCTTTGGTCATTATAAACTAAACGATTCGAAAATATATTTTACACATAAGTAAAAATATAAACCCTGTAGTGGACTCCATCCCCTACAAGGGACGACTGAGCCCCCGCGCGCCTACCATCCAATCAGCTTACAGCCATGACATGACATGAAATGCTAGTGACAGGGGGGAAGGAGGTTCAGGGGAAGGATAAAGGGAGGATTGAAGTGAATTTTAGGAGGAGAGAATAGGTGCAGTGGCTAAACACCGCTTGCGTGAGGGAGTGTTGTGGGGTACTGTGGGGTACGGGTTGTTTGGTTCACACTCAGGATGGGGTGGAGAAAGAATACTCACAATGTGCTCTCTATATACATGTTGTATTGGATGTACAATGCAGCTTGGTGCTGGGAAGGCAGCATGGTTACAAGCGTTGAGTAGAGAGAGCTGGTTGGTGAGGGTGCTCAGAGGAGGACAAGTTTGTTGGTCGCCATGCTCGCCGGCAGGAGCGAGGACCGCCAGGCAGGCGGAGGAGGAGGAGGAGGAGGTGTTGCTGGTTGGTTGGTGTAGGTAGAAAAAAGGCAGGTCACCACGAGGTCAGGTCTTAAATAGCGGGGGTAGGCGTGGCTTAGTAGTTGACCTCCGTCATGTAAGGCGGCGCTGGTTGACCTAGACCACGAGGCACATACTGTGGAATTCGCGGGGTCGGCTACTCAGCGACAAACAGCGTTTGTATGGGAGAAATCCACTACAACACTCCGTCCTTCCCTGCGGCTGTAGCTAGAAGAAGAGGGAGGGCACCACGAGGTCAGGTCTTAAATAGCGGAGGTAGGCGCAGTGGCGTAGCTAGAGTGTGTGCCGCCCGGGGCGGCCCTTGAGTTTGCCGCCCGGGGCGGCCCTTGAGTTTGCCCCCCCCCCTCCCCGTGCCCCCACAAAAAATATATATTGCACAGTGACTCACTCTTATATATATATATATATTAAATAGTTTGTGTACCATTATAATATTACTGTACTTTCACATACTCAAATATAGTATGCTCTAAATACACCCCAAACATACTTAAACTTTATAAATAACAGTTAAACAAAAAGCAAAAACGACATATAGGATAGGGAAAAAAGTAAAAAAAGTGTAAAAAATTAGGAACATCTTTATTTCTGAAATGAAAACTACAACTTTCTACAAAGTAACTTTTCTTGTTTTTTTGTTGGCAACTTCTTCAATGACATTGTCAAAAACTATTTAATCTGTCAATTGTCGCTCTATAGACAGTATGGCAAAATTTCTCAACCGCAAGGTGCTCATAGTAGATCTTAAGTAATTCTTGATCAGTTTTAGTTTCGAAAAACTCCTCTCACAGGTAGCAACACTAACAGCAATTGTGAGGAAAATCCTCAGCATTATTACTATATTTGGAACTGAGTTCCCAAGGTTATACTTTTGAATAAACTGCAAAAGTTCAAGGGGGCCTTCTTTCCACGTCTGTATTCTGTCTTTAACAGTTATAGCAGCAACAGCAACAAAATGCTGAAGTCTTTTTCTCTCAACGAGGAACTCCTCTTTATCAATGTCGTCGTGATCGTGATCTATTTGACACTCATATTTATCATCCAAAAGATTCAATGGGGTAAGGAAGGCATATTTCTCAGGAAGTTCATGAAGCTGTTGAAATCTCAAAGTTATTTCCTGGATCACTCTGTCCAGCGAAGAAAACATTTCTCTCCTCAATTCAATGTCGTATGGCAATTCAGCATCTCGTGATCCTTCACCAAACATTTGTTTCTTCTTTTTGGGTCGACGCTGACGCTCCATGACTATCCCCAGATCATTGCAAATTTCTTTGGCATAGTTAACTCCATTACTCACTAGCTTGTCCCTGTTTTCAACTAGAAATGTTTCTAATGCCCTGAGTTTTATATCACATTGTTGTATGTTCAAGCCCTTGGTTTGGAGGTAAGTCTGTGTGTCGTTAATTTCTAGAAGGACGGGTCCCCACAGGCCAAGAAAGCACAAAAAGGAAAATGATTGCAACGCACCAAGTAGAACACCAGCATCTGCCCTGGTAGCTGTATTTTCTTCTTCACCAGTTAACTTTTCTAGGGCACTTAAGATTTTTGAGAAATGTTTCTTTACAACACTTACAGCTTCTCCCCTCGCACTCCACCGAATTTCTATTATGCGCTTGACACTTTGACCAGTGACTGAAGTTAGAACATCCCAGCGATGGGTTGATGAAGAAAAAAATACAAACAAACGTTCCACACATCCAAAAAAGGTAACAGAATTCACAGCAACAGAAACTGCATGAACACCCGCCAAATTCAGCGAGTGATTTGTACAAGCGACAAACTCTGCTTTTTTATTAATTTCCTTGATACGTTTCTGAACACCAGTATGAACACCAGCCATCACCGCAGCATTATCATATGCTTGCCCTCTACAATTTTGAATATCAATTCCTTCTTTCTCTAATTTTTCCAAAATCATCATTGAAATATTCTCGGCGGTTTTACCTTTTGTTTCAATGAAATCGACAAATGATTCCACAACCTTCACTTTATCTCCATCGATCATAACATAGCGGGGGTCAACTACTAAGCCACGCCTACCGTAGGCGTGGCTTAGTAGTTGACCCCCGCTCTGTGGGCGGCACTGGTTGACCTAGACCACGAGGCACACACTGTGGAATTCGCGGGGTCGGCTACTCAGCGACAAACAGCGTTTATATGGGAGAAATCCACTACAACACTCCGTCCTTCCCTCCAGGCGGTGTAGGAGACTTGTTGTCTGCAGGGTTGCATGGAACATGTGAGGCAGAACGGGCAGTGCATTCCACATGTGAGCCATAACGGCGATGGCGTGGATGAGCCGGCCACTAGTGGAGGCAACTGTCTAGACACACAAGATCTGTGGGAGAAGAGAGGGAGAAAGAGGGCTGTGGAGGTGATGAATGTTGTGTTTTCCTCACGGCAGGTACAGAGTCGTCAGATGCGCCTGTTGGGGTATGTGGGCCTGGGTCAGGAGCAGGGGCTGCGTCAGCAGAAGCGGATGAGGGCTCGTGACAGCAGCTGGGTCCACGACAGCAGCAGGGTGCAGGACAGTAGCAGGGAATACCTGAGGGAGAAAAGAGGTGTGTATGGGTCCGCATTCAGGCGCATGGGCCGCGTCGGGAGCAGGGACTGCATCTGGAGAAGCGGCAGGGGGTACTGCTTAGCCGGGGGCGGCATCTGAGGCAGGACGGGTGTGTTGGGGTCGGTAGGACGTGGTGCTTGGGGCAGGAATAGGAGCGGCTGTCTGCTTAGAGTAGCAGTGCTGCTCTAGGGTGTCTGACCTGCGGTGTAGAGACAGTAGCTGTAGAGCCGATGAGAGCTGCTTCTGGGTGGATAAGCCAGTCTTCCATGTTGCTTGAAGACTGGGAGCGTGATATGTTTCTCCTCCATCCTGTGTGAGTGCGAATCTCAGGGGGTCACCATTTGTGGGGTACGTTATGTTTGGGTTCACACTCAGGATGGTTGGAGAAAGGAAAGTCACAATGTGCTCTCTGTATACATGTTGTATTGGATGTACAATGCAGCTTGGTGCTGGGAAGTGGCAGCGTGGTTACAAGCGTGATGTAGAGAGAGCTGGTTGGTGAGGATGCTCAGAGGAGGACAGCTTGTGGGTCGCCATGCTCGCCGGCGGGAGCGGGGGCCGCCAGGCAGCGGCGGAGGAGGAGGTGTTGCTTGCTGGTTGGTGTAGGTAGAAAGAGAGAGCTGGTTGGTGAGAATGCTCAGAGGAGGAGGGGTTCGAGGGGTAGTTCCTTTGGGTACCGGAGGACTACCGACTTCATCAGTTTCTGGGCGGCGTTCAGCTTAGTTGATACAACGGTGGTGGTGTTTTGCAGGTAAATGTCGAGGGTGGTGGCGGAGTCCTTGTCTTTGGGGTGAATAATCATCTCCCCCTTTAGGTTGGGCCGCACTGAGAACCTGGCCAGTGGATTTAGTTTTTCCATCTCTGTGATGGCGGCATATGTCGTTTTTGTGTCCGTTTTCGAGATCCGGAATTTTGGCAGTGTCGTTGGAGGTGAGCTGGTGG